CATTATAAAATGAAAAATACGACAAATGAGCTCCTGAACTGATGAGCAGCTGAAATCCTGTATCAAACAAGAACAGGAAAACATTTCACTTTCTAAACTACAGCAGTGTCTCCTCAGTTCCCAAACACTTACAGTGTTATTAAAGAAGAGGTGATGAAGCACAGTGGTAAACAGGCCCCCGTCCCAACTTTTTTGGAACGTGTTGTTGGCATCAAATTCAAAATGGGCAAATATTTTTCAAAAAAAAACAATAAAATTTCTCAGTTTCAACATCTGATTTGTTGTCTTTGTACTATTTTTCTTTAAAAATATGGTTTACATTTTATTTTTATTTACATTCGGCACAGCGTCCAAACTTTTTTGGAAATGGAGTGCAAAATCGACCAACAGCAGGACTGCTTTGCTTTAGTGTTAGTGAGTTTGCCAGCTAGCATGCTAGCAACCTGCCCGTACTAATAATTATTCCAATAATTAATAATTAATATTTATCCTTCAGTGACAAATCAATAACACACGTAATGACAATCTATCAATCTACCCATGGATCAATCAATCACTAATAAAGAAGCTACATCATCGTAATACTTGTAGCTTCAAATGCTAACTCACTGCTAACGGCAGCAAAATGGGGGTTCAGTTCATCTTCCGCTCCACAAACTGCAGATTCAGGATTCGTGTCTAAAGTGCTGTAATCCTGTAGTTTCAGTCGAACTGTACAGATTTGAACTGTTTACATTCAGAATTTTCTTTTTTTTTTCCACAAACCAATGTTGGACTGAATGAGATGAAAAATGAAGAGATACAAATTCAGTTTTTAGCCACATTTTTAATTAGAAAAATATACAGACAGACAGATATACAGATAGACAGACAGGTAGAGAGGGAAAACAGGTAGATAGACAGAGAGACAAAGATATAGAGACAGACAGACAGACATACAGATAGATAGACAGACAGACAGACAGACAGATAGATAGATAGATAGATAGATAGATAGATAGATAGATAGACAGACAGACAGACATATATACAGATAGACAGACAGACAGATAGATAGATAGATAGATAGATAGATAGATAGATAGATAGATAGATATACAGATAGACAGACAGGTAGATAGATAAACAGGTAGATAGACAGAGAGACAAAGATACAGAAACAGACAGACAGACAGATATACAGACAGACAGAGACAGGCAAAAAGATATACAGATGGAGAAAGAGAGAAACAAACAGATAGACAGATGGACGGACAGACAGACAGATAGATAGACAGATAGATAGGTAGACAGACAGATAGATAGTATCAGACAGATAGATAGACAGACAGACAGATATACAGATAGAGAAACAAAGATATTGAGACAGACAGACAGACAGATATACAGATAGATAGACAGAGATAGATAGACAGACAAATAGACAGACAGACAGATAGATAGATAGATAGATAGATAGATAGATACGGATAAACAGACAGACAGACAGACAGAGATACAGAGACAGACAGACAGACAGACAGACAGACAGATAGATAGAGAGATAGATAGACAGACAGACAGACAGATACACAAACAGACAGATAGACAGACAGATAGATAGATAGATAGATAGATAGATAGATAGATAGACAGACAGACAGATAGATAGACAGACAGACAAACAGAGAGATAGACAGACAGACAAACAGAGAGATATACAGGCATACAGATAGATAGACAGACAGATACACAAACAGACAGATAGACAGACAGACAGACAGACAGACAGAGAGATATACAGGCATACAGACAGATAGACAAAGTTCCAGCAGCTCTCTGTCCTGCGGTGTTTATTATTTATGAATTGATTATCAGAATGAACTGCAACACTTACAGGTTTCTCACTGAAAACTCAACCAGCACTAAAATAAACACATCATCAGTAAATAAATACGCTGATGATTCAGTTACTCTGACTCTGGTACCAAAACACTATAAATACTGGATTATTACTGAATATTATAAAATATCTCCTGATATGCAGCTTATAGTGTTTACATTTACATCATTTGAGTTCTTATGGAATATAAAATAAAACTAATCAGTAAGGTGACTTCGTTTACATTTGTTTTAGAAATAAATGATGAATATTTGAATCATAGGCCTTCAGATCAGAGCGGTTCAGATTATTAAAGCTTGCTGCCTTGTTTTCAGTGTAAACTACTGATCGGTTCAGTATCTGAACTCTGTAAACTCTGTAAACACTGCTGGTTTTAGAGACTGCAGTTCCTGTGTTTCTCCACAGGGGGTACTCTGGAGCTCCTTAGCTCCACTGAGACCTGTTAGAGGAGTTTCTACAGCAGCTGCAGAGACTGACCTGAGAGCAGCTCTAACATCGTCAACATTCAGAGATTCACTGGATTTACTTCACCTAAACACCCTGATCACATCACCTCCACTGCATAACATACAGCAGGTAATGAAGAATGTCTGATGGATTTAAATACATTTGTACATCTATACATTTATACATCTATACACTTATACAGTTATATATTTATACATTTACATACGTATATATTTATACAGTTATACGTTTATACATCTATACATTTATACATCTATACACTTATACAGTTATATATTTATTCATATTTATACATCTATACATTTATACATCTATACACTTATATAGTTATATATTTATACATGTATAGTTATATATTTATACATCTATACATTTTATACATTTATATAGTTATATATTTATATTTATACAGTTATACATTTATCATTTATACATTCGTACATTTATACATCTATACATTTATATATTTATACATTTGAGTAACTGTATTTCAGGTTTCAACTTGATTTAATTTAATGGCTAATTTTGAAATATAAATAAATAAACATCTTATTATGAATGACTTTACAGAACTAGAGATACAGACAGACAGGCAGACAGACAGATGGATAGACAGACAGATCAATAGACAGATAAACCAATAGAAAGCTCAATAGACAGACAGATACACAGACAGAAAGATAGACGAATAGACAGACAGACATAGATAGATATACAGATCAACAGATAAACAGGCAGACAGACAGACAGACAGACAAGGAGAGATATATGGACAAACAGATACAGAGGCAGACAGACAGACAGATGGATAGACAGACATACATACAGACGGATAGACAGACAGACATAGAGAGATATACAGATCAACAGATTAACAGGCAGACAGACAGACAGACAGACAAGGAGAGATATATGGACAAACAGATATAGAGGCAGACAGAAAGACGGATAGACAGACAGATGGATGGACAGACACATAGACAGACAGATGGATAGACAGACGGATGGGTGGGACTCCGTTCTTCCTGAAGTTGCTGTTATGATTCCTGTGTGTCGGTCTGACCGACTGCAGTCCAGCTTAAGGTGATCGTTTAGCTCGCTAACTGCTTTGGTTGTAATACGCCAGCTATGCTAATCTTACTGACCATAATCAGGTGAAAGGTGTTTGTGACAGACAGACATAGACAGACAGACAGACAGAGAGATAGGCAGACAGACAAAGAGAGATATACAGACAAACAGATATACAGACATGGATAGACAGACAGACAAAGAGAGATATACAGACCAACAGATGTATAGGCAGACAGACATACAGACAGACAGACGGATAGACATACAGACAGACAGATAGAGAGACAGACAGACAGATAGACAAACAGACAGACAGACAGAAGGATAGACAGACAGATGGATAGACAGACAGACATGTAGCTAGCTAACTTGTTTGGTTGTAATATGCTAATTATGCTAGTCTTGCTAAGCATGAACAGGTTAAGGGTATTTGTGCAGCTAACTGTTGTGTTTTGTTGAGGAGCTGAACTGAAGGCCTTACAGGTCAGATTAACTACCAACATGTTATGCTGTCGGTTATAAGATTCAAATAAAACGTATAGAATGAATTTCACAAGCTTAGAACGTCTGTGTTTAATCTAGAACGGCCAAAAAAACGTTAATGTGCGCCACCGTTAGCTTCACCCTCTACTGCATGCATTAAGATAGCAATTTAAAACCTTCACACTTTTCTTGCATAAAATGGTCTTTGATTATTAAATTATATTAATTATAAAATTACATATAATGATTATTAATAATCTGTCCCGATCATTGCATTAAATTATTATTTTGGAATATGTTGCCCTGAGGCAACATTGTGAGACAATGGGAAGAATGACAGCGTTGTGTTCCTTGAAGTGGTGAGACCTGGCTTGTGACTGGCTAAATCCATTACACTGTCGCACAGCGTTGCTTCTAGGCAACATATTTCTGCAAATTCTTATAACAAAAAAATTGATAATGGAAATAAAAAAAGGTTAAATGTGTCCACTAAGAGACAGTATGACCACGTACATGCTTTTTATTGACTTACTCAAACTCTTCCCTTTATTGTTAACTCTATTATTGTCTTTAAATATGTATACTGTTATTGTGAAGTCAGGAAAATGATTTTGTTGCCCTGAGGCAACATCGTGCAATAGAGGGTTGACGCTAGCATACAGTTAGAAATCTCATATGGGCGCTAGCAGAAATTAGCATCACTGTAGGATTTTTTTTGTTTGTTTTATGACATTTGTGGCCAAAACTGAAGGCCAAGCTCACAAAATGGTTTAAGACAGAATAAGAGTGAAACCAGGAGGCCGCGTTAGAGTGAAGAACAGTTTTTAATTTCTTAATCAGCTCATACATAAACAAAATTCGCATTGACTTATTAATTATTACATGCAGTGAAATATAAAAATAGACATTTGGTACTGATTTCTGTACAAACACACATATACATATATAAATATAGAGTAAAAAAAAGAACAGTGCCGAGATATAAAGGTCATTTACAGTCACGTCGTGTTCACCGTGTACAAAAAGAAGAGACCATAAAAAAAAGACGTCGCACTTTGTTTCCAAAACCACCAGTTTCACGAAAAAGAAACAC